GTGTGTGATGTGAGTGTTTGCATGTGTGTGTGATGTGAGTGTGTGCGGATGTGTGTGATGTGAGTGTGTGCGTGTGATGCGAGCGTGTACATGTGATGTGGGTGTGTGCGTGCGATGTGTGTGTGATGTGAATGTGTGCCTGCGTGTGTGTCTGTGATGTGGGTGTGTGCGTGCGATGTGTGTGTGATGTGAGTGTGTGCATGCGTGTGTGTGTGTGATGTGAGTGCCCTGCACTGGGGTGATGCCCCAATCTTTTATTCCCTGCCTTGCGCCCCTAGCTTCCGGGATTGGCTCCAGAATCCCACGACCCTGCATAGGACAAGCAGGTACAGAAAACAGATTGATGCGAATTTTACAAAGATTAAACAAAAGCCTTATACATCTCAGATTGTGGTTCTTCAGGAAACCCTCAAGGGAGATGTTAAATTTTCACTTTTGTTTACTTTTTAATTTGCTTTTTGTCGGTGCTTATCTAATTAAATCCCATTTGAAATTTGTCTAATTGGAGTCCTCTCCTGCGTTAAGCTGTTAAAGACTTATCAGCAGGGGCGGGTCTGTTGTTCCTGGGGCCCCACTCAAAAAGTCATTTTGGGGCCCCACTCAAAAGGTCACTTTGGGGCCCCACTCAAAAAGTCACTTTGGGGCCCCAGCCATTATCTGCCTTTGTGCGGCTGAGGTCCTCTTTCCAACATCTACATCTGGTCAAACTGCTCGCAGTCGCAGTTGCAGGTGTCATATGTTAAATACTTTGCTTAGTAAGGCATCATTTTGGTTTTAGCATTGATTTGCATGAAACTGCTCAAGGATATATTGATTGAATGCAGGATCATTTCCGGGCATCAGACACGGACTTATTACACCAATTTTCAAGCCTCTTTTCCTGTGGAAGGTCACACCAGTTAGGATCTATCCCATCCATCCATCCATCTTCAATCCACTTCTCCTAGTGAGGGGCACATTAGTAAGGACCTATCCCTTCAATCGATCCATCGATCCATCCATCTTCAATATGCTTCTCCAGGTGAAGGTGACTGTACTAAGGACCTATCCCATCCATCCAACTTCAACCTGATTCTCCTAGTAAGGGTCACATTAGTAAGGATCTATCCCATCCATCTAACTCCACTCTGCTTCAGTTAGTCAGGGTCACAGCAGTATGAAGCTATTGCTATTGAACAATCCTTTTTTAAGCTTTAATCTGAGAGTTTCATGAGTCTACAAGAAAGAGGACTCAGCACTACCTGCTCCCCCGGGGCAACGCAGCGAGCGTCCTGACCAGCTGCATCACTGTCTGCTTTGGGAATTGGGATGCCCTGCACCGTAAAAGCCTGCAGCGGGTAGCGCATTCAGCGCCGCAAGCTCCCTCCCTTCCATTCAGGGCATCTTCCTGCAAAGCTGAACCCAGAGACCCTCCAGCATTCCGCCAGTTCCACCAGAGTCTGGAAAAGCTTCTTCCCTGAGGCTGCCAGGTCCCCCATCAGCCTGCTGCCCCCCCCCCCCAGTCATTGTTATTGTTATTTATTAATTTATTAAGTATTGTTTTTCCTCTATGCCAGACAGTCCACCATTTTTGCTCCCCAAAGACTCTATTGGGAAACAGTAGGTTAGAAGATGGATGGAAATACAGCAAGCAAAATCCTTCTAATAGTCTGGCATTTCAGGAAACTTGCAGTCTGAATGAAAATTGCTTATCACACCCAGAGTAATGCATTCCACAGAGGATGGAACAACATCACCACAGCTTCTTATCCTAATCGCCATATTTTCACTGGGCAAATTCAGCTGTAAAGGGCTGTACAATAAAGGAAAACTACCATTTTAATATGCAGCGGAACCAAGAATTCAAAAGACAGCGATTGTGTTAACGTATGGGTCAATCATGGTGGAAGCCAGAGCAACCTGGGGTAATCTGAGATACTTTCATTTTCAGAGCTGTCTCTAGAATATGAATGCAATTACTCACTTCGGCACGATGAGCACAGTGGCAGCTTACAACGGCGTGCCGACGGTAGAAAAAAAAAAGCACATTATCGCACATTACTCCTGTGAAAAAATGACAAATTACTTTCGAAACTATCCGGGTGACTGCCGCGAATACAGAGGAAGGAAACTGTTGTGGATGCAGCTGAAGGGGAAGGGGACACTGCTGCCGGTCTACCGCAAAACAGGAGAGTAGTAAAGGTCATTTAGAGGCGGTTTGCTAAAACGTGAGCTTATGACGGATAATTTAAATGTAATCAGTGAGGGCGTCGTCTGTAAGGTAATTCGGCGCCAAGAGTTGATATCAGTGTACGCTTCACGTGTAGCTATGGCAACACTCTTTTCATCCAGGGCAGGTAACATGCATGGATTTGCATTATCTGAAAACTTAAGCACGCAAATTGCATATTAGTTTTAATCTTTGTTATGAAAGCAAAATGCATCTTACTGTTTTAAAGTTACTGATGGTTGGTGGTTACTCAGAAATCCGCTAAATCGTGAAGATCATAATTGGCAAATTTCACATATAAAATTATTATTTTATTATTTTCATTATTTAAGCGCCTGTGTGGTGCACTACGGTACTCTGTGAATAAGGTGCTCTGTTTGCCCTACGATCATGCAGTCATTTCTCACATTTTCCCTTCCATTCTGCAATTCATTCGCGCATTCTAGATCTGCGTACGTGTTTTCCATTTATTATCCGCAATGGTTCATATTCTGTTTTTTTTTTTCTCTCCCCCGGTAGCTTCACACCTCGCCCCGGACACTGCAGTTCTTGCAGAAACTGAGCGCACATGTAAATCGCGGATGTACCTTGAACAACACAAACTGTGTGTGTGTGTGTGTGTGTGTGTGTGTGTGTGCGCGGGCGCGTCCCTCCCATGAAACACACCACAATCACGGAAGGTAGAAGTATTTACAGCTCACCGTGAGTCCTTCGGGACAGTATGAAAAAAAATCTAATTACTTAAACGCGGGGGTTTGCTTTACTGCATTTTCCTTAAATACTGAGGTGAGGCATTCGGACCAAACTTCATCCATGCCTTCCCAAATCACACATCATAATGTTTAATTACTGCGCTGACGTCAGTATTTACACGTATCTCCTATCAGTGGTTATTTAATATCGAGAACACGTTCGAGTTATTAATTTTCTGTTCTTCCAGTTTATATTTGGAGTGATCAATAATCTAGGGAGAGCCACACTACCGCAAAGCACTGTTATCATAGGAAGTACAAAATTTAGGTTAGTGCAACTGCGACGCTGGGCTGGATTTTCTTTACTACAACTTACTGGCTTTTATGCTGTAACTGAAAAGCTCTGCTGCGTTAAATGTTTAATATTCCGTAAAAAAATTATGGATTATACACTGCAGCCCACAGCAATATGCATTCAATGCGGATTAAAACATAGCAAAGACGTTTATAAAAACTAGGATGGGATAATGGATAACTAAGATATTACTAATCACATTATTTTATCAATACAATAATGTATTTGTTTTTCGTCATTATGATTCCGATCTGTCCTGTTCAGTCCAAAGAACGATTCGGTCTCATCCTCAACTCAAATTTAAACACAAAGTTTTCATCCAAAGCAAAGTCCCGATATACAGACCATCAGTCAGCAAGACGCGTAAAAAACTCACCTTTTGAGAACGCAAAGAGATATTCCCAGGTAAAACTGCTAAAAACTTCCTTATTTTCAGATTGCAGTTTTGTGAAACTCGGCTTCAGAGGGCAAATGCTCTGTGCAGAGTGACTGAACCCATCCTTAGTCCTCATAAATATGAAGGGAGCTATTCCGCAGCTCCTTCTCTCAGATGAAGAGGGGGAAAAGGCACAAGTATCACCGCTTCACTGGACTTTTTAAGCGCTTTTATCGCCGTACAGCAAACACGGGACGTTCAGAGCAGCGCGGTGACAGCGCACTCTGGCGGCAGAATGTGGTTAATGCAGCAGCGGTCCTCCCTCACCTGGTCGGGCGTTAATCGTGCGCAGTATGTAGGTCACTGTTAGACGGTGTTATACAGAGAAGCGGGCTGCCGTCGTTTCTGAGTCCTATTCTCTCCCCCACCCTCACTATCCCATCATCGCAGCATAAACTTTAGTGTAAACTGCAAGATGATTTAAGGATCCTTAATAATTCAAAGGGGCCATATTATACTAAAAACATATGCAATTTTATTCCAGTTGCGTGTAACCATGTAATAAAACGGCGAAGCCGCATTAGTCTTCTTCCAGAACTTGAAACAATTACGTACATTTGTGTGCCTGTTTCTATGCATGTTTAATCGCACTGCCGAAATGAAGGCATAGTTTAAATGCTTGCCGTGTAATCAGCTACTTTGCTATAAACCGACACTGATCCTATGTTTCGTGACTGCTAAGGCAGTGAGTGAGCGCGTCAGAAATAATCGCTTTCATTAGTGTTCTATCCATGATATTAAGCAAAACTTTAATTGCTCCAAATACTCAAGGGATAATTCGACATCATTTAAAAATGCACCTCTAATGCAGCGGACTCCCCACTGATTAAAAATTTACTTGCATCACCACTGCAGGTTTTGCTATGAGCAGAGAGAACGGCACGAATGGTCGATATCGGATCACTGTGCTCATACTAATCTCATTGTCACTTAGCGCAGCTTTGCAGAGTCTTGCATTACCAATGACACCATTAAAAAAACCTGCTTAATGTCTGTGTTATGCGTCGCTTTGTGCCACTTCCCTGCATGTTGCACTGTCACAGCAGACCCGTCTTCCTATTTCACGAGCCCTGTCCATGGTGCTGACACTACTTTTTAAATAGCCTAGTAAGAGATACAGCTTAAGCAAGATGTAATATGCACTGTTACAATTAGGAGGCGACTTCCATCTCATCGCATCCGGTCTGTCCATCATTGCACAAAGTTTCCACTTTTGCACTTTTTTTTGTTGGCGTTATCCTGTTATTCGCTGTGAGAGACGCCGGCTGCTCCGCCTCTCCGCGCAGCGACTGCAGGTTAACATCCGGGCCCCCGGATGGGCGTCGCAAGCCTGCGAAGATGGCCGCGTCGGGCAGGGCTGCCTCGGCATCCACCGGCTCAAGCCTGGAGCGCGGCGCCCCCGGGGCGCAGAACGGCGCCGACGACGATGGCCAAAATTTATGGTATTTATTTAGGGGATCGGGGGATGCCATCGGGGCGCATTTAAATGCGTGCGATCCCATGCCATTTCCCAGCCATTGCACGGATGGTGGCATTTAATAGCTGGTGAGGCGGTGTTGTCAACGCTTTGCCTCAATGCCTTTAAATCATTTATTTTAAAATGCGTGTTTTATGCGCAGGTCTTCGATTCTCAGCGAGGTGTCCATGCATTCCCGCTCCAAGCTGCCGTCCGGGAAGAGTGTCCTCGTCATGGGTGCGTCTGGATCGGGACGCGGCCGAGCGCTCACACCGCCCCGCATTGATATTAATAGCAGCCCCGCACCGGCGGCTTATCTGCACCAAGTTGCGGCTTAATTGCTTTTTGCGTTTATTTATTTAAAACCCCACATTATCTCCGTCCTCCCGTTTTTGACTTGCAGGTGAGGTTGGGGCTGGTAAAACTACACTGGTCGCCAAACTCCAAGGAATAGAGGAGTATCTGAAAGGGAGGGGACTGGAATACCTTTATTTCAATGTTCACGACGACGACATTGATGGTACGTATATGTCCGCGTTGCAGCCTGGGATTGCCAAGTCATGGCTACAGGAATGAAGTCCTTTGACAGGGTGACATTAGGCAGTGACACTTGCAGTGGGTCAGTGTGTACTGTGATCCAGAAGCTTTCACAAGTCGTCAGTCCAGTCCGCATTTGCACTAGTAAACAACCATTCTCATTTATCTCATTTTCTGTGCTATTTGAAATTACTGTGTTGTTTTCTTTAGATTTACATATGTATATGTTTGACTTCTATAATTCAGCGGAAAGGCCTTATTTGCTATTTGGGCAATTTGCTAATGATTAATGCCCTCATTGTTTACATAGCAGTTCCTTTGCTTTGAATAAAAAAAGGCGTTTCTGTCGCCCCCTGCAGACGATACCAGGTGTAACGCATGGGTGTTGGACGGCGACCTGTACCACAAGGGCCTCCAGAAGTTTGCAGTATCCCAGGACAACCTGGCGGACACCATCGTTCTGCTGGTGGTGGACATGTCCCGGCCCTGGGGCGCCCTGGACTCGCTGCAGAAGTGGGCTGGCGTGGTGCGCGAGCACGTCGACAGGCTGAGGGTGCCCCCGGAGGACATGAGGGACATGGAACAGAAAAGTACGTGAAGGGCGACCTGCTGTCCACTCCCTGGGTCCATTAGGCTGCCGCAAAGCAGGAGAGTCTGCTTCACATAGCTCAGATGGTTCAATGCAGGAGAATAGGAATGAGGAACACAGTTCTCGCCCCTCTGAAGTCGACGTCTTTCTGGAAAACAGCGGGAAAACTAGTTAACATCTACAAAGGATAGAAAATTGGCTTATGCTGAGTTTAGTAATAATAATATTCAATTACTTCATATACTAATATTTCACTTCAGCCATTTTTTTATTGTCAGAGAGGAAAATGTACTCCCAAGCAATATTATTATTATTATTATTATTATTATTATTATTATTATTCATCTACTTCTTATAGTCGATAACTGCTTGTCCAGTACAAATTTGAGGAAGCAGAGGGCACAAGGCAAAGCTACACTATGAACAACCATAATTATAATAATAATTATACACTGATGAGCCGAAAAATTATGACCATCCCCACATGAAGTGAACAGTGTTGACTGTCTCGTAAAAACAGTGCATGTTGAGGTATTAGACAGTAAGCTAACATTCGATACTTGTAGTGGACATGCTGAATGCAGAAGAAATGGTCAGGGATAAATATCTGAGTGACTTTGACAAGGGTCAGATCATTAAGCTATGGGTCAGAGCATCTGCGACACGGCAAGGCTTGGGGGGGGGGGGGTACTTTCAGCTGTGGTGAGAGGGGACTGAGGAACCGCCAGGATGTGAACGAGGGCTATCGTGTGTGGTGCAAACCGGCAGAAGGATACTGTGGCACAAATGGCAGATTATTTTTTGATGATGGTCACTGGAGTAATGGGTCATGACAGACAGGGCATCGAGCCCTGCGGCGTACCTGGCTACGCGGCCGCTGGCCAGTCAGGGTGCCCATGCTGACCCTGACCCCCGTCCACTCTCAAAAGCACCATATACCTCAGGTCTTTATTCCTGCCCATTTCTTTGCCCTCCACCATTTCGAGTATGAGTACCAAATGTTACGAGTACCATCCAATATATCCCAGACCTTGGCTCACACTGTTTTCATGAGATAGATCTCTGTGTTTTGGCCCATTGGTGTATTATTCTAATAGTTTATTTTAACGGTTAATACCGACCCCGCCCCCCCACTCCCCGTGCTCGCAGTGGTGCGGCACTTTCAGGAGTACACTGAACCAGGGACCGGTTCCCCTCAGAGGAAGACTCCCCTGCTGCCAGACGCCGATGAGGAGAGTGTGGTTTTGCCCCTGGGTGAGAGAACACTGACGCACAACCTTGGTGTTCCGGTGGTGGTGGTGTGTGCGAAGGTGAGGTGGCCGAATCACGCCCGGGCAACATGCATTCTGACGTACTTACACACACTCACAAGGGCTTACATGTAGTCACACACACTCTTATGTACTCATACTCACTTATACTCACATGTACTCGGACCTACTGACATGCAGTCACATGTACTCATACTCACTTATATTCACACGCTCTGACATGTACTCATGTGCACTCAGTTATACTCATATTTGCTCACACATTCACATGTACAGTATATACTCACACTTTCATGGTCACTCACATGTACTCATACACACTCATACGCATACACATATATACTGACGTGTACTCACACACACTTATACTCA